TAGAAAATCTGAGCTGTGCCGAAAAATTAACGAACGGCGCCGGTGTCACCGCTTCTAGCGCTCGTAACAGCTTTGCCTACAAATTATCGCAAATATGTATGTATGTATGAGCATGCATACATATTGACGAGATTTTGTCATGGAAAATATTTTTGAATTGTAAATATATTAAATCGACAAAAGCTTTTTTGCACTTTTTCTGTGTGTTGGGCTTGGGTTGAAACTTTCCCTTCTAGAGCGAACATCAGAATTTCGCTTTTCATCGTCGCAAAAGACGCTTATAGGCAAACGCATGCTCGGGAGATGAGAGGTGTCTGTTGTGAAGCGAGATTGCTTGTTGAAAGTACGAGCGCTTTCATGAATGAAAATGTTTTGTTATGTATTTACATAAATTTGGCTTCGGCTATTTGGCTTGTGACGGTTTTTGTAGAACAATTTTGTAGTTTTGCGGTGACATATTTACATGTGTAGATATTCATATTATGTAGGTTGGTTGTGTATGCATTATTGTTCGGCAATTTATATACATACATATATAGTTGACATATAAATCAATCGCGCACATATAGTGTATTGATAAGTAATAAAGTTATGATTTGAATTTCTGAATGCGTACATTCAAATGCGATGTTCAGATAAATATTTCATATAACTATATAAGATTAATATTATATGATAAGATATACAATTATAATACAAAATATTTATTAGAATGCATTATTATGTAAAAACTATATTATATTAATAAATGCCCAAACTGACTATAAATATTATTTTGAAAATTACATAATTTAATAGATCTTATCAGTTTTGCATGCATTCATAAAAATTGGCATAATGATATTAATATCAATAAATATGATTGAGCATAATTTCATTGAATGCTCAGCTCTGTTCATACCACTGTTAAAATTTCTCCATCCGAACTAGCTGTTGAAACACGCTCATCGTATTTTGTTAGTTTTGACAATTCACACGCTGGTCCGTAGTTGACCTTCTCTATATTTTAAATTCTCTGACAACATCATAATCAACCGCGTGATAGAAAGTCATACAAATATAGTGGTATTTATTTCGTACATTTTATTTATACATTTTCAACCAAGAGTTAGCTTTTTCAATATATTTATATCAAAATGGCACCGAACGCCATACGGTATTAATTAAAAGTAAATAAGGATCTAATGTAAGTGTAATTAAATGTGTAGTAGCTATATAGTAACAGTACAACTAGTTGATTAAACATCTGAATAAAACAACAAACTTGATTTAACTCCTGCTAATCATAATCGTACTAGAGCAACGAATGAGAAAGATGGTGAAGATGAAACATTGCAGTTTCAAAACCTTAACATATAAATATATATATTATATTAACAACCTTCAAACTTACACTTTTCCTTGTATATCTCTTTATTTATCAATTTAATGATGGAATTTATAATAGTTATTTTTCAAAATGCTCGCTCATGGCATGTGCATTTGATAAATAAATTTATTACCAAATAAGTTGTTATTGTAACGGATTCTCGATAAATCGTCTACCTGTAACTCATTCTTGAGTTCGATCACTGGATTGTTAAATAAAAGTCCCAATGGCTACACACTAATCTTTATTTCATTCCAACAACTTAACTTATTGCTCGTTATTCGAGCTTAAAACTTCTTGCTTATAGCTTAATTGCTCTTATCACGACAACACTCTAACTAGAACTGTGTTTGCTGCACAATCCAGGCCCATTTAATTAAATCTCTAACAAAACATTGCTTCTAGAACATTCTGGCAACTACGAATTCGCTAACTAGCACTCTGGCAGATTATCGTTGATTCGATTTTGTTCTATCATCCGTGTTCGTCACAGTTTTATAAATTAAAATCGATTGAAATCGAAATAATCGATTCTTGTCATGGACTAATAGATTGTTAGAATCGTAAAATATAAAATCGGAAACGATTCTTTATAAAAAGTTTCCATGTCTACGAAGAATGTAGGATCAAAATAGACCAGATCATAAATACTGTGTTTACATAGGGACTCTTTGGACCCTCATTATCGGCAAATTCTCGTTTGGTGTCGCGCTGTGCATATGTTTTTATACAAGTTTTCTGTCATTCCATTTCAAAAAATTTTCGCAAATGTTTGCGCGTTCGGCTATGTCACACTTAGAGATAGTTGCATATTTCATTTGTATGTTGGGATGGTGATCTCACATTTTGCTTGTAAGGAATTACCTTGAATGTGGTAGAATATACGCTTAATAGTTTAAAGAAATACTTAAGATGGGAACTCCCTAATCCACCGGAATGTATTGAATACCCACTACTAATATTTTCAAGGCCAAATTTATAACAGGAATTTCCTAATCTTCAAGTATCAAAAATTTCTAATTTCTTTACTCCATATTTTTGTCTATTTATTATAAACCATCCTTGAATTAATTACAATTCTTGTTTAAAATAAAATGATATTCGAACTTAATCCTTTGTGGTTAAAAGAAATAAATATGACAACATTTTAATATAATATGTAAATATAAAACAGTGAAGTTACAATTTTTATAAGAATTATTTTATGTATTCTGGTATATTATTACATTTAATACCGCTAATGTTATTAAAAATGTAAATTGAATGTATTTGAGTAACTTAATTTTCTCCATTTTTACAACTGTGAAAAATATTTCTATTATTCAATGCTTACATATTTGCATATTACGTACAAAAAATAGTAACAGAATTAAAATTTCTGAACATATGGTATATATTCATTTGAAACCGAGCGCTGTTGCAACCATTTAAAGAATTTGAAAATGAAAAAAAATGCTGAAAAGGGTCGAAGCGAGCAGTTACGAGCAAGAACACAAAGTGTGCCACCCGAACACGAGTGGCACGGTCCCTTCGTCTATTCTTGTCGTCCCCTCGCCCACACTAAACCGGTATGGGTTACATAAGCGTCCCAATGTAAACACACTAAAAGCTGCAAAGCTTTTTACAGAAAAATATACATAAATAAAATTAGCTTAACAAGCTAGATATCCTGTATGACTTCTAAATATAAGTACATGTATATTTTAATCACAAATGATTTTCAAAATTAACGTTTAAAACTAAATTTAACAAAATATTTTAATATTTCAAAACACACAAGTTTTAAATAACCTAAACATGATCCTTATTTCTTTTTGATATACTCAATAAACGAATATCTTTTGATAATATATTCGGAAGTCAAAGTTTACATAACATTTGCTGGGAATTCTAACCAAAATAAGTATATACGTAGGCAATTGGTACTGCTAAGCAAAACAATACTCTGCGACAAAATACCGCTCTTTATTAAAAACAAAACTATATTAAAACTCTTTCAAAAAATCTGATCTCACAAATTACCCACTGATTTCGCAATTTATTTCTGCGGGATTCTTAGTGGTAGGTCATTATTTTGGTTATCATCTGTTCAGTAGCTCATGAACTCGTGGTTTTCTTGGCAGCACTGAAAGTTCATGAGCTCTCTCAGAAGTCAAAGAGAGGAGTTTCGGATCATTTTATCTATGTTGTACACTTCACGTTTATGAAATAATCTGTGGATTTATTTATAAAGCGAAACATGAACATTAACGGAAAACATACAAATTAATAAAGTTTCAAATGTATAGAATTGTTCATGTTACAATATATGCTACTCTCAGAGCTGACGAGTTTTAAAAGATATACGTTTTATACATTTACTACTGTTCAAGAAATGTATACCTAAAATACGTTTCTATTAAGTTTTTTATTCCTTAATCATCCACTTGTTTGTGTTTAAAAATAATAATTTGTCATCGTTATAAGGATTTAGTGTTGTGCTACTTCGTGATATTCAAAGTGTGAAGCAAAACCTTAGATTTACTGCACCCAAAATCGATCAATATGCTAAGAAAAATTATAAAAAATCGCTCTGCACTGACACCATTCTCATAATTTAAAACAAAAACCGGGTTATATGGGGTTTTCCGGAAAGTTTTAGAAGATAGCTATTTTTTATTTATTTTTTTTTTTTATTCATCTATGATATACACTTCAATATAGGGGTCGGCTTTAGAATAACGTCCCACGCTTTCGGGTATAAAATGGGTATGGGCGGATAGAGGAGATCCTCCAGATCAAGGATATATATAGATATAGCCGCGGGAAATTTATAGTTTTCGAGATATTTACGTTTAAAGTTGAAAATTTCAACTATTTAAAGTACGTATTTTCGCGATTTAAAATGAATTATACACTTTTATTTTTTCACTAACACTTGACTAATTCGTTTTTAGAAATTTTTTGCTGCAAAAATAGCTTTATTTCAATAATTAAATCATTCTTCAATTTTATTAATTTTGACAATAACAAAATGGTTGTGAATGTCAAAAAATAAAATAAACAGATAGATTGTATCCTAGATACAGGAAACAACGCAAAAAGAAGTTCTGCGCGAAAAATATTTTGATACACCCCGGTGTTGGACCGACCAGGGTTATTTTTTTTGAAGCGCGGCCGAAGGCCGCCAACGCAAAAAGAAGTTCTACAAGAAAAAAGTAATATTGTCATAGAGGGTATAACATAGTACTTAACATCAATGCTTTGTAATAGTTTATTTCTCTAGGTTTTGGATTCCTGTATTTGGGGTATTATCTGTTTTACTTTTTTTCAGTTCAATTACAAAAGATGTCGATAAGGTAACACTGGTTATTTGAAATTTTGCAACCCTTTTGATGCCAGAATTAATAGAATTTAACAATAATTTAATTATTGAATTAAACTATTTTTGCACTATATAATGTAAAATAAATGTGTACAAACGAATTAGTGAAGTGTTAGTGGATATAAAAGTGGAAAATATAAGTGTATAATTCATTTTAAATCGCAAAAATACGTACTTTAAATAGTTAAAATTTTCAACTTTAAACGTAAATATCTCGAAAACTATAAGTGGCTATATCTATATATATTCTTGATCTGGAGGATCTCCTCTATCCACCCATACCCATTTTATCCCCGAAAGCGTGGGACGTTATACTAAAGTTTTCTCCAATATAGAAAGAAATTTATCATTTATTGAACCACCGATAAAGAATAACGATAAAATTAAGATTAATGTTCAAAAATTGTAAAAGTATTGCTCTCTATTTCGCTGTTTTACGCACTTTGTACACATTTAAAAAAAAAGTAATCCTAGTCGATTGATCAACAGGTTGTTCATATTTTATTTTTTTTTGTAAAAATTCATTGTATAGCGTAATTACAAATATACTAACTGCAAGTGTGTAACACATAACGAAATAGCGTAATTACTTTTAAAATTTTTGAGCTTTACATACAAATATCTCGAAAACAATAAATCTGAGCTGGGAGATTATGTGTGCATTTTTAATCCTGAGAACCTCCTCTGACCGTCCATAACACTAGATCGCAGCGCTAATGAAATCGTTATCATGCCATAATAACAAAAAAACTTTAACTAATTATACTTCCCAAACCATTTGTGATCTACAGGAGATAACCACTTATGACAACCGCTTAAATTATTTTGTATTATATACTTTATATAACTGTGTGACGGATCTTCAATTGGTGTATGCTCTGAATCAATTAACAGATTGTGTGATATAACACGAGCTTTGAAAGGTAATTGCTGCGCCACTATATCCAAAAAGGATTTTACTTCAGAAAATTCGCAGTTACCAGCGATTTCAAGAATAACACGACCCTTTTTTATTGGAGTAACGTAATAGTCTATGGCGCCTTTTCCACCTCCCATGCGCTGGCCTTGGCCTTTTTTAGTTACAGGTTGCCAAGGCGGCGGCACTCTCCATATGGCGAACATTCTGTTAATATCCATCTTGCGACCAATTGTAAGCCTTAGCATTTCGAAATGGCCCCATCGCAAACGACCGCCACTTTCCGCAACAATTCCATACTGTTTATGAATAAAATTTTTATGAACAACTTCAGGTCCCCTCATAAACTTCAATCTTTTCTGCATTTTTGGTGGTCGGAGGTTAGGGGGATACTGAGGTACTCTCTCCATTACTCTTAATTTTGGGCGCTCCAATTTCTCCACATCTTAAAATATATTAATATATCAATGATTCTTTTACATTATTATAAAACATACAATCACTTTTTTTCTGTGGCGCAAAGTATTTCATTCCAATAGCTGTAATTATATGATGACGATATCACAAAAACAACAATTATAAAACAATTGAGTATTATACCGGTAAACTTGCTAGGACACCATAACTTCATTTTAAGATTTGCCCACATTGAACAAGCCGTAAGTAATTTCTTTACACCTATCAAAATATTTTACCAATATAACCTTATGGTACTATTAGGAAATGGTACACACGTTCAATATATATTGAATCACGATATTTATTGAGTTAGGAGCACGCAATAATGACGCCTGCCACACGTTCAATTTAAATGTGATATATTGAAGATGATGGATCGCGAGCTTCAATTTCAATAAAAAGCACGTCAGTATTGATTTCAAACAAATCGAGTGTTTAAGAGATATATGTTTATAAATAGTTTTGCTTTATTATTTATTAAAATTTTGGGAAAACTTTTGTTTACCATCCCAGGCTTTCGCGGCCAAAATGGGTATGGGCGGATGGAGGAGATCTTCCAGATCAATATGTATATAGTATAAAAATATATATATCAATATAGCAGCGAGAAACTTATAGTTTCACGTTTAAAGTTGAAAATTTCAACTATTTAAAGTACGCATTTTTTCGATTTAAAATGAATTATACACTTATATATTTCACTTTTATATCCACTTACACTTCACTAATTCGTTTGTACACATTTATTTTACATTATTTAGGGCAAAAATTATTTAATTCAATATTTAAATTATAATTAAATTGTATTAATTCTGACAATAACAAAAGGGTTGCAAAATGTCATTGGAATCTTTACTACTCAACATTTGCAGAAGGCTCAGAACTTGTAGACAGGTTACGTACAAACAATACCCGAATCAACAGTAACTTAGCTTCACATAACCGTGAGTCCACAGCGCCCCTCTCCACAGCCTCCTATTCACTCATTTTAATTATATTCAAACTACAAAATCACCACACACTATTATTATACTTCGAAATATTTCGTATGAAATATCAAATCAAGATTTAAAATTAACAAACTGACTTTATTACTGAATTTATTACAAAAGTCAACACAATTAAAACACTCGCATTGGAAGCCATGGCATGCTTCACAACATTTGCTGCGTAGCTCTCTATCTCTTTCTTTCTCTTTCTCCTTTTATTAACAGTGGCGTTAAAAGCTTAACGCAACCGTGCCGGTGCTCACTAGTGGATGCTTATGGATTTGCTATTCAAAAGCCAAATTTTATTCCGAAAGAAATAAAATTAAAAATTCCACAGGAAGTAGGACTTCCAGCACTAAATGCCTGATAAAATAGTGAAAATAAACGGCAATAATTAGAAGTATTAATTCTTAAACAGCGGATAGTACTTCAAGAATTGAATCACCAGCAGGTCTTGAAAAAAGGACAGCGACAAATTCATGAAGATTCACAACATATCAAAAAACAACGGAAAACGAATCCTGCAAAAGTTTATGAAAAGTGGAACAAAGTAAAAAAGGTATAGGTCTATAGGTCTTGAAACAGCGGATAATACTTTCACGAAGATTCGATCCTGATCCTGAAATAGGAAGGTTGAATCATATATGAAGGTTGAATCATGAATAACAGATCCTGAAACACTGGACAGTTAATTAAGACCTTAAAAAAAACCAAAATGGAACAACAAATGGCCCAACTTCATGCACAAATGACTGCATTAATGGAAATCATAAACAAGCAACAAGAGGAATTTACCCAAAGGTGATCCTTAGTGAAGCAGCAAAAAGTCCACAAGAAACTCCAACTTCATGCCTAGATGTTTCGAAATGAGGACATTACATTTTAACATAGGAAAGAGTTAAGGAACCTATTACTTATCACAGTAATATCTTAAACCAACAAACATCAAAACACCTTATGTTTCAGTAAACAAAACATATCAAAACAAGATTTCGAATAATAATTTAGAGATAATCTAAATGAACAGAATATATGAAAACAATATTATCATAGAACAAACAAAATGAATCTAAACAAACAGCTATCAGCTATAAGTAAACTACTAGTAGTAAGTAAAGACTGGTGTCGGTATAAATAGCAGTAAGATCTATGTAACAAGTTAGGCTTAAGCATCGTAAAAGGGGAGGAGAGAGAGAGAGTAAACAAAGCGATTTCTGAGAGTTATCCATGGAGAAATGTCAAGTCCGATTCGGGGATGAGGAAAAAAAGTAGTCCTAAAAATATTCGTTATATGTAAAATTTTTTAAAAATAAGTTTATTTCAATATATATTCTTAAAGGAGCGAATATTATTGGCAAATTCCAGAATAATTGAGGATTATATTTATGCCTCTTTTTAACTGTGGTAAATTTATAAATATTCACCACAAAAAAATGTAACGTTCAATTAAGCAACCATGTCAAATAACGGGATCAAGAAAGTGCTTTCTCAACGAAACTGAAGACTAGTTTTATAAATTTGTATAAAAACAATTATTATATTAAAAACAATAATCAAAAACAACTCACCTTTTTAAAAATCCATCCGTCTGTTTCAAAAATATTTAAATATGTTTCTATTGAGCATGTCGTAACAGTGTTGCTTAAGCTAATTTTAAACTACTTTTTAGGAAATAAATATATCTACCGTGTTTGATACAAATAATTTATTTATGAAGTATATATATTTAAAACTAAACCGAGAACTATGTATATAATAATATGGTAATATTTAAAAGAGCTGTTAATGAAATATTGCACATAATATCACAGCCAAAACCTTAAATAAAAATTATAATTAAAATTTTTTTTACTTAAATTATAGGAAACATCGGCTCTGTAATTGGCTCTAGGTATATAAATTTTGTTGAATTGAATTAGTATGACTTGTAATACCAACTTCTGTTACAATAGTTCCTGGTCCACTCATAGTAAGCGTAACTTCAAGTTTGTCCATGAATAACTTTGTTAACATCATCAAAATATACCGCATATTTACCAATATCAAGATGGTATAATATCATATTATGCTAACAGTTCGGTTAGGTTAGCAGGTTGATCCCAAGAAGGATCTCACTTGGACAGCTTAAAACGCCAGTCCGTTGTGATACCTAAAAACTCCTATAATATGTATCAAAAGACTCTTACATGTCGACAAAACGCTTTGTGCTTATAACAAACTTGTTAAAACGGCTAACATTCATTTCGGCTAAGTATTCAGATAGCGGAGATATTTCAATCTCAGCCTAGCGAAAGCCGGACAGTGGAGAAGAAAGTGCCGGGATGTTTCCACCTCGCCCTTCTCCATATAACTTTGGCAACTACCCAACTCGGGTAGTACTCTAAGCTGTACCGAAAGAGTGCCCATTGGACAGTGTCCAGTGAGAACTCCTACCATAGCGGCGAGATGCACTTTGCTCAGGGCGAGGTCTATTGATCCAAAGCAAGAACGCAAGACGTTAATGGAGATCCAACTCAATCCCATTCCGATGTGAGCGGGGCAAGGGTGCCGCCCCTGGCTAGCAAATCGGCTTTAACCAGGCACCCAAACGAGCCTAATGTTGAAGAAGCCAGATGCTATTTCTAGTGAGAACAAACACTCCTTGACTGGCTTTGATTGCACGGTTCGCGCGAGTTACGTACTCACTAAACCTCCACTGTAAAGATTAACAGCAGATGAGTAAACTTGTATGTTATATTGTTATTATATGTAGACTCTCCTGCTTTAAATGCACACACATATGCGCATATTACATAATATATTTATTTATGCATTTAGTAATACACTACCTATCCACAATTAGAAGGTAGCGTGATTTTCGTCGTAAGCTAGTCTTAAGATCAATTTGAATGAATAAAGTAATTTTATGTTGTTATTCATTTAACTCGCGTAGTCAAAACGAACAAACACGGTTAAAGTGAAGTTTATTCGCGAAAATACTAAAGTATTAAGCATTATACCACTACAAACTTATAAAAAAAAATTTTCTTTAAAGACAATATATGAAAAAAAAAATAATAATAATATAAAAAAAATTAATCCTTAGGCTAAAAACAACAAATCGATTTGACAAAAACCGAGAGCACCACTTAACAAAAATCGTTATGGAAGAGCTACAGCAGAAAATCTCCGAGTTGGAGCAAATAATTCAAGCTCAAAATCAGCAACTACTAGCCAACGATGGAGTTCTCCAACAGTTACAACAACAGGTGGCCCAGCAACAGGGGCAAAATCCAATTCAAGATCACGAAGCTCACAGCATGGTGATCGGCACGAGTAAAGTTTTAGATCAGTTTCGACAACTAAAAGCATTTTCGGACAATGAATCGTACAGTCTCATATCTTTTATTAAGGCAGTTGAATGTATTATGATGTTTGCAATGAAAACCAAGCTGTACTAAATTTTGGATTGCAAATCATAATGAACGAAAAAATAACAGGAGAAGCAGTTAGAAGCAAGAGCCATCGAGGACAACTCAACGTGGAGCCGAATTAAGTGTACAAATGTGTACCAATTACAACATATGGTGAGTAGTTTAATAAAGCAAGAATGGTTAAAGTTAGTTGTTTAAAAGAACTTTTCACTACATTTATTGATTTCAAACACGAAATAAACTTTATTGATAGTAAACCCCACTTGTACCGTCCAGAAAATGTCGACAGAGACCTAATAGAAATCATTTTAGAAAAAATAAGCGAACAAGTAAGAATACATATAGGAGAAAATGAAACCTTAGAATCGTTGTATAGAAAATATGGTCGGCTTAAGCTCCTTTTTGATCCAAAGTGTATTGAATATAACCACAAAAGAAATAAAATCATTAACAATATTGTAAGAAAAAAAAAGTTGTAGATGAACATATGCAAAATAATGACAAAAATGCTGCAGAATTAAATTCTAATAGAAGTACTATCGAAATAGGCAAAACAATAACCGATTTTCTAATTTTCCTAATCTTAGTAATAATAACAATGCGAGTAATTCACGCCAAAATAATTTAAAAATAAACCAATCAGGACAGACTAGGATATCTAGAATGAGTGTAGACACTCACCAGATTAGTAATCACCCAATTGATATCAAAAATATCGGGGGAAATGTAGAAGATGAAGATGAAGAAATAAATTTTTTAACGCTGCCTCAAAGGGCAAATTGCCAATAATAATAATTAATAGATACTGGGTCTGATACTAGTATTATCAAATCAAGCGGTCTCTCAGAGGATTATGAAAAAGAAAAAATAGTAAAACTTTATGGTTTTTTTAGGCACCGACCAAATTAAATACAAAGTTAATACACCAATCCCTAAACAATTTTTAGCAAAAGGCACTCTGACTTGGAAAGCGATCGAAGTCAAAAACAAAAACTATGATGCCATTGTATGTCAAAATTTCTTTATACCCCTTAAAACAAAAAGTGATAATGAAAATCGTTCTATAGAAATACTCGGAAATAAAATTTTCTTCGAACAACAAACCTGTCCGTATATTTTTGACGAAATTTATAATTTAGAATATGATGTATGAAGAAGAACGAAATAGAATTCACAAAATTTTATGTGAATATAAAGACCTTTTTTATGAAGAGGGAGATTAGCTGTTGGTTACCACGGACATTTTCCATGAAATTGTGACTACAATAGACAAGCCCTTGTATTCAAAAACATACAGATATCTTCAAACTCATGAAGAAGAAATTCAATCGCAAATAAGGCAAATGCTTTCCCAAGCTATAATAAGAGAGAATAACTCACCCCACAATAGTCCACTTTGGATTGTGCCGAAAAAACTTGACAATTCCGCAATAAAAAGTGGCGTCTAGTTGTAGACTACCGGAAGCTCAACGAATACACTGTTGACGACAAGTTTCCGCTACCCAATCTGTCGGGAATTTTGGACAAATTAGGGAATGCCCACTATTTTACAACGATAGACTTAGCTAAAGGATTTCATCAAATACTCTTAAAGAAGAAGATAGAAAAAAACAGCGTTTTCAACACCCCAGGTTCATTACGAGTTCATTCGTATGCCTTTCGGCATTTAAAACGCCCCTTCGACGTTTCAAAGGATGATGAATTCCATCCTGCGTAAATTAACTCAATGAAGATTCTTTAGACTCTTACCGCTGGTGGGGGACAGAAAAGACCTTCATTCAGCTGTACAATATATTCTTAACTATATATTCTTAATATGTTCATTTTTGAACACTGCGTGAATTCATTAATAAAATATGTGTGGTCTACATGGACGACATTTTGATTTTTAGTACATCCCTAGTGACACATATTAACAATTTAGTCTCTATATTTAAAAAGTTGCGAAAGGTTAAGCCAAAAATTCAAATAGATAAATGCGACTTAATGCAAAAAGAAACGCAGTTCTTGGAGCACGTACTTACAACGAGGGGAATCAAGCCTAATCCTTCAGAAGAAGCCTTCTTAGGTATGACTGGGTTCTACCGTAAATTTATCAAAGATTATGCCAAAATAGCATACCCCCTCATTAAATATTTAAAAAAGGACCGAGCGGTAAATTCAAATGATCTTAGCTTTATACTCGCCTTTCAACAACTTAAAGACATAGTGACGAATCCACCTATACTAAGATATCCTAAATTCCAAAAAAAAAATTCAAAATTACAACTGATGCTAGTAATTTTGCCATTGCTGTCTTATCACAAGACGACCACCCAATAGCATTTGCATCTCAAACACTAAACAAGCACGAAGCAAACTATTCAACAATTGAAAAAGAATTGTTGGCAATAGTTTGGGGTGTATAATATTTCAGACCATATATATTATATTTGGTAGGGGATTTGAACTAGAAAGCGATCATCAAGCACTTAAGTGGCTGATGGTAAAGTACTCCGGCAAAGATATTAGTCCACGCTTTCAAAGATGGATAATTGGACTAGGTGAATACAATTTTAAAATTGAGTATATAAAAGGAAAATGTAATTACATGGCATAATTCCTTAGTAGAATAAATGCTGACACTAGGGAAATAAATGCTGGAGACTTGCTGATTTACCTAATAATCGGATGTCGAGCGAAGATACGAATTCTATGGAGGCTCAAACTTGCCATTCTTAGGTAGAAGATCAAAATGATCACTTTGGAATACTTGAAACCGTAATAAATCGATTTAAAATCCAAATAATCTTTGTACAGGATAAACGATGCGAAAGCGAAACTATATTTGGAAACAAAAGAATATTTATAGACCAAAATGATATAGATCAAGGTTTCACGGCAGACATTGTTCGCAGACACATTAAAGGGGGGAAAGTAGGCATTTATACGGGAATATCCGATCACCAATACAACACAGTACAACAGCTTTTGATAGATTTATAAGGAACAGGTTCAGGTGTAAAATTTGTAAGAGGTTCGTACTTCGCCAGAGACATTGAAAATGAGGACGACCTCAAACCCAAATTTTATATTTTCATAAATTTGAAACCGAAGACTCTGGTATTTTACAAACATACGAAGGACTTAAACATAAAATTTACAACCCATAAATAAAAATGTTTATTCACAAAATTTTTAATAATTGCCATATTTGCTCATGTGCAAAGTATGATAGAAATCCTATCAAAGCCACATTCAGTAACACGGAAACACATATACAATAGTTCATTCATTATTTTTATTGGCAAACTATCCAAGCACATCGTATGCTTTCATTTACCAGACAGAAATAATCAGACAATTAAGCTTAAAATTCAATAATTCATTTCAATTAAAGGAAAGGTAAATAAATTTGTATTTGATAACTAGTTCAAGTCAAAAAATATTATAGACTTTTTGAATCAGGAGGGAATTGAATTTTATGCAACAAAGCCTAATAGTCACACAGGCAACTCTAATATAGAGATGTTAAACAACTTAACTAAACTTAGAGGAACAAATACCTATCACAGAACAAATGGCGAAAGCAGTAACATTTTATAATAATAGCTTCCATACTACTATAAAGTGCACCCCTTTCGATGTCCAAAATGGTAAAGTAGATTTAAATCTGATTAAGCAGAGAATCAAAAGTAATAAACAAAAGGTATTGTTAAAACGAAATAAAAACAGAGAGGAATATAACGAAAGCAGGGTAGTCGGATATATAAAAATTATAAAAGCCTTCGGCATAAAGAACAACCTAAGTTTAGGAAGCAAAATTTGAAAAACGTCCATCCCATGAATATAAAAAGACCGACAAAATATTAAGCAACACATAGTTGCGATACATAGTACGGTATTTATAATTATAAATATATACCAAATTATGTGAAAAAGGAATACACAATCACTTGTAAAATTGCTGAACTGTCACACTGTTCTACAAGGTGCGTTCCAAAGTAAACAGGACTTTAAAAAAAAAGACAAAACAAGTGGTTTCATCGGCAAAATCAATTAATTTTATTCAAAATAGTCTCCTTCTGCTTTAATACAGCTTTTTGCACGATCCAAAAGCATGTTGAACGAGTGTTGTAGCT